GTGGCTCTTATTTGAGGGTTTTTATGGTAGTTAATAATTAACACAACATTAACAGTTGTAAAAGTACAATACACAGACAGCACTTACAAAGGGTGAGACAAGATGTCTTCGAAGAATGAATACCAAAAGTTTGGTTTTTTTATGTAGTTTACACATATAAATCACATAAATGTGCCAGACACATTTCATAGGCATAAATCTGGCCCCTTTAATTCATACAATTACAGGCAACCATATAAAAATACCTTTGTGTTGTATTCTCCACCTCTAACTGCATTGCTTGGCATTTTAATCTCAGATTTGTCCTGCATTTTCCTCCATGTACCCCTTCCAATGCCACACACATAGCTTGGTGGTCTTGATCCAGTGTAAACCGCATCCTCATCACGTTCAATATCAACCAGGTAGGTAGCCCAAGGCATGACTGTCTTTCTACCAAAACTAGAATTCAAATAAAAAATACAACAGGTCAGTTGCCATAGTGACTGGTAGATACAAAGGCATTGCATTGCACTGATGAATTAAGTTGATTGAATTGTAATTGAAATGAACATGTATGGCATTATTGCTAATCTATAAATGCTGAATTGTTCGAGCTACGAACATTGAGTTACGAACATCAAGTTACGAAAACATTGAGTTACGAAAATGACCACGCCAAGCATGCACACTTCTGCAAAACCATGCTTAAATTGTAACTTGATGTTTATGTAATAGTTAACAGAATTTTGAGTTATTAACCTATATTTTTGTTTTTGTTGAACGTTCACATTTAGTAACTCAAACTTGAATTAACAGTTAACCAAACTTCGAGTTACGGGCAACATGGAATTTTTATTTTGTTTAATGTTGTATATTTCCCGCAATTCAAAGTTCAATTAACTGATATTTAAAATTTGAGTTTTAAATTTGAACATTAAACAAAACAAAAAAATCCATGTTGCCTATAACTTGAAGTTTGGTTAACTGTTATTTAAAGTTCCAGTTGCCAAAAATGATAAAAATATTCACCAAAATTAGAAAATTGAAGATATCATCACGAAATGAACAAATCTGAGATTGGTCCACATATAGTACCTATACATGTAGTATCAAAGCAATCGGACTTGCGTTTTTTAACAAAACGTCGAAAATATCACTTTTTACCAAAAATGACAAAAATATTCACCAAAAATAAAGAATTAAAGATATCATCATGAAATAAACAAATCTGAGAGAGGTCTACCCAAGGTACATATACACCAAGTATCAAAGCATTCAGACTTGTAGTTTCCAAGAAGAAGTAGAAAAAATAAAAAGTTGACGCGGACGACGGAGACTGGCAATCATTCATATGATAGATAAGCTCCGATCGACAAAGTCAACAGCGGAGCTAAAAAACCCCAAATAAAACATAATATGTAGTAAGCGCTTCGTTAAGATGCAACAATTGGATATTACACAATTAGTATTGTTTAGGCCGTACTAATTTGATTACAGTGGTGAATGGTGACATCATCCAGGGTGTCCAAAACTGTCACGAGCGTACCAAAAAAGGTAGACAAGACAGAAAACTGACATTTATTATAAAATCTAACTTAACATACAAAACATGGTTAATAGCAATGATTTTCCATTTGTTACATTTTCTTTGACCCTAGAAGACTTGGTGGTGCAAGCAAGTTGCAAAACAGGTACTATCCAAGCGAATGTTGGCTGCGGCTGTTTTCTTGGTTTATTCGGGTTCACTTTTTTTTACTGCTTTCTTCCTGGTCGCCGGACTTAAAAAAGGTTACAAAATACAAAGCCCAACAAAATCATCTAAAATACGTCAAAAATCAGCTGGAGTCGAATAGGGGTTTCGGAACATAGAGATTTCGAAACATAGGGCTTGAACCATCTTGATTGCGTGTCTGGTAATTCTAACTAACTACTATTTCGCAAACTTTGCCCAGCCTTGCTTCTGCCAGTGATTTAAAGGCCCAATTTACTTGCCCCGGGCAAGTGTGAATTGGAGGTGTGACTATGCTAATGAGTGTTGTTAATCACTTGTATAGCCTATGACGCATCCTGTTTCAGCGGTCCAACATGTGACTTTGATTGACAGTAGTTAGTTATGCAAGATTAGTAGCGCATCCCTTTCCTCGGTTCGTGTTTTTGACTTTTATCCGCCAAAATCTCAGCTCGTACACTATTTATTGTCATAAATACTGCACACAGTCACTGCTGTGATATTCATAGTCACATGCATCCACTTTGGCACGACATAATCGACCTGTAAGTTCGAGAAAACGCGTTTTTACGGGAGCTTGGCTGGAGCTGTTCACTACAATGTGACAAGCAAGGAAATCATTTCTATTGTTTAAGAGCGTATTTATAGTATACTAGTACCTGGGCCTTTAAGTCAACTCCAATATTGTCCTTCTCAGTGAAGGTTAATGCAGATATATTGTAAATTACACAACAGTCTTTGTGCTGAGGAATTTATGGTTTACAACCATAACCAGTTCTCTTGTTTTTTGGTGTTGATTAGTGGTTGGACATACCACCTCTTTCAGATGCCATAAAGTGTTTTAAACAAATTAACATAACAATAAGAATGTCTGTTATACCTACAATGTTGCTTTGAAACCTATGATGGATTGAATATTGTTACAGTTTAACAGATCTGATTGGCCAATGTTGTACTGTGTCACGGCCAAGGAAACTTTGTATCATCGAATCCAGTGGTGACATTCTCCGTTAAGACAGTCACTAAAATCAAATTCTTAGATGTTTAGGACCGGAATCGTAACTTTATCAGATTTAGAAAAGCTACTACGCTAGCTTCTGTATCGGTTTACGGTGGGGCATTATAAACACATGGAACCAGTACACAAATAAAAATGGTTTATAGACGATTTGTGAAATCACATTTCATGGTCAATCAACTCCTTTTGAAATCTGGCGCAATGGCGACGCAAAGAAGGATAACTTAGTACATTATCATAAATTGTAGTAAACTTGTACAACAAACAAGTTACCAATGTTTGAGCTTCGATCAGTAGTACTCACCTTAGACGTTTATTAATAGCGCTAATTTCTCTGGGTGGATGTGTTGGTCGTCTGACAGTTTAAACCACCGTGTAACGCTTTGGTTTTCTCTTCCACGTCGCGGCCCGAATACTGAAACGAAACACACATTTGCAAATGTATTCATTGGGCATGTTCAATCTAAACATAGCGCCACCAATCAAGCATTTGTTAATTATCCAGTGTCAGACAGATATATACGCTTTGGTGATTGGCTAAGATATTAACAACATATGCGGAATAGCCAATTGAATTAGTCGGTACATGCTTCTAATTAGTGGGTATATGTATAGTGTCAAAGGTCATTGTATGTTGTTTTCACGTCGTTGCAGCCTTTATTTATATGGTGTCTCGAAGGATCGTATGGACGAAAAATTCGAACGCTTCAATAGAAGGGAGAAACAATATCATTGACAAAAATGTCGTCGATGAATTTTGGCCAGAAAAGCTTTACGCCAAGAGCTCCTGCGAAGGGCAGTTTCCCCCTTGATCATGACGGTAGGTGAACAGCTATGTCTACAGATATGTGAATGTGTTTCGTTGTGATTTAGACGGTATCTCGTGGTGCCATCTAGTCGCAACGTCACGATGAATATCCCCCGATAGCAGCCATCAGAGAAATAGCCTTGCTTACAAGACTGTTCGCCGGGGGTTAGGATCAGTGACCCAAACACTGTATCATCGGATGCTGGCTGTGGTTAACGCCCCAGCCTCAGTAGATTAGGGAAATCACACATAGCCATTAACCCAGATAATTATAGAGCGATTGCGTTATCAAGTTGCGTATCAAAACTATTTACTAGTATTATGAATAACAGACTGACATCCTATTTAGAAAGCAATAAATTATTAAATGAACTACAATTTGGATTTAGAAAACAGAGAAGAACAACTGACGCAATTTTTCTACTAAAAACAATAGTAAATAAAACATTATACACTAAAGAAAATGTCAGTAAACAAAAACGTTTGTACAGTTGTTTTATAGATTTCAGAAAGGCATTCGATCATGTTTGGAGAGATGCATTATTTCTTAAATTGCAAAACTTAGGGGTCAATGGAAATTTTTATAATATTGTGAAGTCAATGTATACAGGTTTAAACTACAAAGTAAAATTACCTAATGGTGTATCAAATGATTTTAAGTCTACTTGTGGTGTTAAGCAAGGATGCAATATTTCTCCAACACTATTTAATATATTTCTGAATGACCTACCCGATTTATTTGGTAAAAAGGATGATGACCCAGTCTCGATTGGTAAAAAACATATAAATTGTATCCAATATGCAGATGATTTAGTATTGGTGTCTAAGACTCCCGAAAGGTCTACAAAATTGTTTAAATAAACTAGCCAACTATTGTGAAAAATGGAGCCTTGTAGTAACGTAAGAAACAAAAGTGATGGTTTTAATACTGGCA